CTAAAGTCACGACCCCGCTACGCGCCATCCGCGGGGATGCTCTGCGATCGCGCGCATGTAAAAAAAAAACACGCACATCCACACCGTAGGCACCAAATAGGGCGCAATATCATGCCCGATTGCTGCACCAAGCCCCCCCCCCCCCCCCCCCCCTTAACTGGCGTCACCCTGCAACGCGGCAGTTCCTGTGCAGACACCAATGTGTTGAGCCAGACGCTCAGCGCATGTCGACAAAGCAGGATAATCCGCCTGTGTGAGGAAAGGGCCGCAAGAGCGCTGCAACGGCGCCCCCGCCAACTCGACACCCCCCGCTGCCGGAAGAAGCAAAACGTTCCCCCACCGCCCGAAGCCACGCCCGTGACGAGGCAACTCGTCGGGTGCCTGTGATTTTTAATGGCGCTCCGCCCGTACCTGCGGAAGTCCCGAGAACAACGCAGCGCCATGGCTGACAACCACCAGGGAAAAGACTAGCTCGGGGCCGCGCAAGGAGGCCCCCCCCCCCATTCAAAGCGCACCCTCCGCCCTCAACAGTTCCGCGTCCGCAACGTAAGCGACGCAAAGGCCCCCCCGCATCCTCATCCGAGATAACCGACCAAATGCCGAACAAAATGCGCGCGAGGCTTGCGGGGATGAAGGCTGCGCCCAGCCCAGCGGGGTCCCCAACGCAGGGGGGGCCTGGGCGCGCTGCAACGGCACCATCCACCCCGCCCCCCCGGCGCCGCCACACTAGCGCAGCAGCCCCGCCGCGATAAAAGCCCCCGCACCACTTAAACCAACACCGGCGGCTTGGTCAGTAGCGTGGCGCCCCCCCCCCCCCAAAGCTGCCTCGCTGCGGTCCAAGAAAGGCCAAACGGGCCAGCGCTACCCGAAGGAGGCTGCATCGGCGGGCGCGCCGGCAGGCAACACACGCCAAGGTCCTCGTCCGCCCTTGGGACTTCTACTAAGCCTCCACCATCCCTCCACGTAAAATAAAAATAAAAACAAAAAAGCTGCACTCGCCGCTCCCCGCCGCAGCATCGTCGAGCGCACCAGGTGGCCCATGCAGAAACGGGGGCCCCCCCAACGGGGCTCCCACACGCCCTCGCCTAGACTGGCGGAGTGGCAGCTTGTCGCGACACGTTCCAAAAAACAACAACAACAAAAAAAAATGCTCAACTAACTTATGAGCGATTTAAATCATGCTGAAGCGCGTAAAGTTTAAAAAAAAACGTATTTGCTCCGCGCGTTATTAGTTGGAGGGAAAAAATGATGCGCACCCCCCGCTTCCCGCACTTACCGACCACCAACGAGGCCAAATAAGGGAACAGTGATACCAAAAACAAAACAAAAAACAAAAACAAAAAAAAACTTAAACTTAAACCTCCACACAAAGCTGCGGTCGACGCGGGTATCAGCAGACGTAGCCCCCACCTCCGCCACAACGGCCAACCCACAAACTGGCAGGCATCGTTGTGTTACATATTTTCTCATCGTGTTTATTTGAATGATTTCCAGCGCACTACTATCTATCATCTTTTATTCGCGTAAATTATCTTATTGCCGTCTCCGTTTTCTTGTTTATTTATTTTTATATATATTCTTTTCATGTTAACATGGCGCCATTGGTTTTCTTTCAACGCAGCTGTTTCCCATTATTCCATGGTGCCCTTTGTTAGTTTTTACGTGGTGGCATTCTCCGTGGTTACGGTTTGGCTACACCCACAGCGCGGCGCGGCGCGGCTGTGTCACTGGTGGCAGCGGCAGCGGTGGTGAGGGGCAAACGCCCCCGGCCACAGCAGCCGGCACACAGCCAGCAGCGCCCGCACTCGCACCAGCGCTGTCAGGTAAGACAAAAACAGAAAACACCAAAGATAGAGGGGGTGGAGAGGAGCGAGTAGGAATACCAAAGAACCAGACGCAGCCACTACGAACGCATAGTATTTCCCCCAGTAGCAGGCTCAACGGACTCCGCCTCGACCACGTCCTGCTCAAATTGGTGCTGGGAAGACGGTGCCATCTCTTCGGGCAGCTTTGCATGCGCGAGGCGAGAAAATCGCCAGTGCACCGCCACTGCGGCGAGTGTGGCGACCGCGTTGACGGCCATTAGGACAAACATCTGATTTCGCACACACGAGGGGGCGTTGCATGAGGGGAACTCACCACGCTCGCGCCCCTCCGCATCGTACATCCCTCCGAACAGAAAGCGGTTCAGCGCGATCGACGCAACTGCGGCGGAGGTGCGCAGGAAGCTGTAGTGCTTGCCAAGGTCACGCGCATACATCACCCGGACCGCAATCACGCCGATACCCCAGCCAATACCGTTACCGAAGGACCCAAGCAAAAACGGCAGCAGCAAGGCTTTCCCAGGTACCACGCCAAAGAGGAGATACGCTACCGCAAACAGCAGGGGAGCAACGGGAAGCGCAATGGTCGTCAGAATTTTTGTCTTGCCTGCACGATTCCAAGCAGTCAGCTTCGTGTCGAAGTAACCAACAGAGATGCGCCCAATGGCGGTGCCCACAGATATGATAGCAATGTAAAGCGTCAGAGTTCGGCTGTCATACACGCCGTAGTTCGTGCTGCGGCTTATCTGGGCAGCGTTCATCTGCATCACTGGACCGGTGCCCCACATGCCAAAGCAGGCTAGCCACATTGCCCACAGGTCAACGGAAAGCAGATTGGACCAGAAGGAGCCTTTGTGCTGCTTCACCGCACTAGCCGGCTGCTTATTGTGGAGAGCCTTGCTCTTTTCCACCTCAGAATCCCCACTTACGGCTTCGCTTGCCTGCTCCACGTCCGACTCGCCAATGCCCACCATATGCGTGGGACGCACGCGGTTGTAGCGGCCCAGAAACTGGAACGGCACCGCCATCAAGGAGAATGATGCCATCAGCAGCAGCGCCACAATCGAGATGGCCACGTACCCTGCGTGGGACGTTTTCACGTACGCCGTCGCAATCGACTGCGTGGCAGAAAAGATCAGCATGGCGACGACAAGCCCAAACCCGATGTGCAGACGGCGCGAGGGGGCATGCTGGCTCATGTACAGGCCAAGCGTTTTCTCCCGCTCCGCAGTATCCTCGGCGCTCAGGCGCTTCTTCCTCCACGATGACGGAAAGTACATTGGCAACCGCGTGCAGTAAGAGCCAAGACAGGCGCAAAACAAAATCTGCGCCGCAACAAAGTACGCATAGCCGGAGTAGTTGTTGTCCTCAGATCGATGCGAGTCGGCTGCCCTAAACCAGCCGTTGAAGTATGCCATTAGCACTGCAGTCCCAAGCCCGTTGAACGTCTTCATGATCAGCACCACGTAGCCGCGATCCAAAGGAAACTGCACCATCAGCGTCATCATGGTGCAAACGTCCATCACCGGGAGGCCAAGGTGGGTAATCCCCTGGTAAAGGGAAAACAGTCCCACATTCGAGGTTTTGACCGTACCGTCAAAGGTCAACCCAAACATTAAGAAGCCCAGTCCTCCAAGGATACCGGCGAATGGAAGCACAGCCGTAGGACCCACGGAGTCAAACAGCATGCCGGCATGAAAGCTAAGGAAGTTCACAACATTTCCGACCGTGCTGATTGTCGTGATGTCGCTCTGCGAATACCCGTACTTAGTCTTCAGGTGATCCGTGAAGAGGCTGAATCCGTACGTGGAGGAAAAGCCGAGCCCGACGTACACGCCAGCCATCAGCATCCGCATGCGGAACAAATCATCCACCTGAAACACCATGCTGTTTTTTTTTTCTCTCTTTCTGTTCTACAACAAGCAACAGAATCACAGATCCAGAAGAGGAAAACAGGTGAGCCACGCATTGCGCGCCGCCATGTTCGCAGAATCAAGAATTACACTTTTTCGTGCATGTGAGCGAACGCATTTGCCTCTGAAAGTGAGGGGGAGGGGGGGATTCATTGCTTTTCACGCCCGCGCTCACACACTCGTTGAGAGGCAAACATCTCAGATGGCCTCCTCGAGACCGGGTGCCGCGCCGCGCCTCCGGGCCGCCGCCATTTCGCAAGCTGGCGCACCGGCCTCAGCAAGCAAGAGGAAAGCCCCAGCCCTACACACGAGTGCAATTGAAACACGCACGCACAAAAATGACCACAATAATAGACGAGCATACTTCACAAAGACGGAGCAAACAATACCTTATGACTCGGCACGTCCACGAGGAGGATCCACCTGGTGGGGGGCCTTTGCTCCTTATCCCCACATAAGGAAAGAGAAGAACAAGGAGATCGTAGTTTGGCTCAGCGAACGCATCCTCCCACTTCGGAGGAAGCCCACCAAACACACAAGCACCCACACCAGTAAACCAATTGGTGCACAAAGCAATCTACAAAAACTGAGGCCTCGCCGTAAACCCACAACGTGGCAGCCGTTAAAGGCCCCGCAACCGCCGCTCCCCCTCGCACGACGAGCCCCTTCTGCCACGCCACCAGAACTAAAGTCACGACCCCGCTACGCGCCATCCGCGGGGATGCTCTGCGATCGCGCGCATGTAAAAAAAAAACACGCACATCCACACCGTAGGCACCAAATAGGGCGCAATATCACGCCCGATTGCCGCACCAAGCCCCCCCCCCCCCCCCTTAATGGCGTCACCCTGCAACGCGGCAGTTCCCGTGCAGACACCAATGTGTTGAGCCAGACGCTCAGCGCATGTCGACAAAGCAGGATAATCCGCCTGTGTGAGGAAAGGGCTGCAAGAGCGCTGCAACGGCGCCCCCGCCAACTCGACACCCCCCGCTGCCGGAAGAAGCAAAACGTTCCCCCACCGCCCGAAGCCACGCCCGTGACGAGGCAACTCGTCGGGTGCCTGTGATTTTTAATGGCGCTCCGCCCGTGCCTGCGGAAGTCCCGAGAACAACGCAGCGCCATGGCTGACAACCACCA